TGGTGCTTCTGCGCAGAGCGCCATTTTGCCGGAAGTCCTTCTGAGTTTGGTTTTTTATTTTATTATTGTAACAAACAGCATCACTCACGAGGAATGGCATAATAGCTGGCAGTGTGAACTCAGTCGCTCCAAACAATCAGTCAGAATTGCACAAATGCAAATAACGCATTCAAAACGCCTCTGTGGAAGAATTGTTGAAAACAATTCTTGCCACATCCATACACAGGAACACACTGGAATAGTTTCTGAGAATAAAATACTCACTAATAAAAATGTAATAATGCAGACCTTCAATAGACCAATTATTGCCTCCGAAAGTAAACAATGTTTTTACCAGTAAATATTCATAAATGAATTTTTAAAATTCTGTTAAATTTGTAGCATCAGTACAGAGTATTTTATAATTGATAAAACTCTAAAATACTCTTGTTTGCTTGTTAATAAAGAGCTTAAGAAAATGAGGCAGTAACTGAAAATAAATTTTGGTCCAAAGTAATGCTCTAAAACAAATTTAGATATTGAAAAAGTGAAAATTATTTCTGAAATAATGCATGTCTGTGACAGACAATGGTTAGATTTCCAACTGAAGGACAGAAATAAAAAGCTAATTAATGAAACATTCACTTCAAACAGGAAATTTAATCTTAGTGAAACCGAAGGAGATTCTGAACGTTACTTTCCATTTACAGAGAATTCTCACACGTGAGAATCTCTTTCCTCAACCTTCCTGCCATAAAATAAATTAGGTTACTTGCCATGAAACAATTGTTTTGAATGTAAATTTGAGCTTCCATCTAAACAGGAAGATTCTTATGACTACATAAAGAAATTATCTGATCTTTCTTTCCTAAAAGACATCATTTTTCCTTCTAAAACTGATAGGTTAGAAAAAATTAATATTGTTTATTCTGAGTTCAAATATCCACACTGTTCTGTAATCAGAACTTCTTTAATATGTGTGTGTATGTATGTGGGTGTGTGCGCACACATGTATATTCATCAGTTACTGTGGAGTTCATTCACACACACACACACTTACAATGGAATATTATTCAGTCAAAAAAAGGAATGAAATTCCAATACATGCTACAACATGGATGAACCTTGAAAACATTATACTAACTGAAATACACCAGACACAAAAGAACAAATATTGTATGATTCCACTATATGAAATATCTAGAAATCTTAGAGACAGAAAATAGTTAACGGTTATCAGAAACTGGGAAGAAGGAGAATGAGGAGCTATTGCTTCATAGGTACAGAGTTTCTGTTTGGGGTGATGACAAAGTTTTGGAAATAGGTGGTGATAGTTGCACAACGTTGTGGATATAATTGTTGTTAGCTGCTGTTGAGTCGGTTCCGACTCAGAGTGACCCTATGTACAGCAGAACGAAACACTGCCTGGTCCTGAGCCAGCCTCACAATCACTTTTATGCTTGAGCCCATTGTTGCAGCCACTGTGTCAATCCATCTTGTTGAGGGTTTTCCTCTTTTTCGCTGACCCTCTACTTTACCAAGCATGATGTCCTTCTCCAGGGACTGATCCCTCCTGATAACATGTTCAAAGTATCTGAGACATTGTCTTGCCATCCTTGCTTCTAAGGAGCATTCTGGTTGTACTTCTTCCAAGACAAATTTGTTTGTTCTTTGGCAGTCCATGGTATATTCAATATTCTTCGCCAACACCACAATTCAAAGGTGTCAATTCTTCTTCGGTCCTCTTTATTCATCGTTCAGCATGCAAATGAGGTGACTGAAAATACCAAGTCTTGGGTCAGGCGTACCTTAGTTTTCAAGGTGACATCTTTGCTTTTTAACACTTTAAAGAGGTCTTTTGCAGCAGATTTGCCTAATGCAATGCATCTTTTGATTTCTTGACAGCTGCTTCCATGGGTGTTGATTGTGGATCCAAGTAAAATGAAATCCTTGACAATTCAGTCTTTTCTCTTTATCATGATGTTGCTTATTGGTCCAGTCATGAGGATTTTTGCTTTCTTTATGTTGAGGTCTCACCCATACTAAGGCTGTGGTCTTTGATCTTCGTCATTAAGTGTTTCAAGTCCTCTTCACTTTGAGCAAGCAAGGTTGCTACGTTTCAGCATAATGCAGGTTGTTAATGAGTCTTCTTCCAATCCTGATGCCACACTCTTCTTCATATAGTCCAGCGTCTCAGATTATATGCTCAGTATACAGACTGAATAAATATAGTGAAAGGATACAACCCTGACACACACCTTTCCTGACATTAAACCACACAGTATCCCTTTGTTCTGTTTGAATGACTGCCTCTTGATCTATATACAGGTTCTTTATGAGCACAGTTAAGTATTCTGGAATTCCCATTCTTTGCAGTGTTATCCATAATTTGTTATGATCCACACAGTTGAATGCCTTAGCATAGTCAATAAAACACAGTTAAACATCTTTCTGGAATTCTCTGCTTTCAGCCAGAATCCATCTGACATCAGCAATGATATCCTTGGTTCCACATCCCCTTCTGAATCCGGCTTGAATTTCTGGCAGTTCCCTCTAGATACGCTGCTGTAGCCACTTTTGAATGATCTTCAGCAAAATTTTATTTGCCTGTGATATTAATGATATTGTTCGATAATTTCCACATTTTGTTGGATCACCTTTCTTGGGAATAGGCATAAATATGGATCTCTTCCAGTCGGTTGGCCAGGTAGCTGTCTTCCAAATTTCTTGGCATAGACGAGTGAGCACTTCTAATGCTGCATCAGTTTGTTGAAACATCTCAGTTGGTATTCTGTCAATTCCTGTAGCCTTGTTTATCGCCAATGCCTTCAGTACAGCTTGGACTTCTTCCTTCAGTACTATTGGTTCCTGATCACATGCTACCTCCTGAAATGGTTGAACATCCACCAATTCCTTTTGGTATAGTGACTCTGTGTATTCCTTCCATCTTAGAAGATGTAATTAATGTTACTGAATTGTATTTTACCATAATAAAACAAACAAACCTCCAACTAGCACAATGCCTGGTAAATAACATGTGCTCAATGAAAAATAGGTTAAACAAAGAAAAGAAAGGAGTCCATAAGGGAAAGAGACAAAGTTGTAGGAAAGACCAACCCCTATGAATTGACAAATTTGACCATAATTTAAAGGATGGTAAGTCTGTGTAGAGCAATATGGGTGAGAAGTTAAGCTCATGATCCCCATCAAGTATCATTCTTCCAGTTAAGAGGAATATGATGTTTTACATATACAACTTCTGTATTTACTTAAGACACTTAGATGCTTTCGAGTCTAATGATCTAAATGTTCAGCTGACTCATTTCTAAAGTGTCCAGGGATGCTATGGTTCATGTCTTCTTAATGAAATCACGACTGGATTCTATACAGAAATAATATTAGTGTTTGGGAAACTTTAAATTAGAGCTTTCTTAACATTGTTTTCAGCCTTTTTTCACCTTACCATCTGACATTATCAAGGCTTGACAAATCATTCTAGACAGGCAAATAAGTACTTACAGAACAGAGAAAAAAAGTACTGCCTTCCTCAACTAAGGTAGTTAAAACAAGTGTAACATAATGAAAAAAAATCTCTTGACTTCCTCTTTTTTTCTACTACCACAGAAAGACAAAAAATAGCAAATTTGCTGTTACTTTCTTTTAAAAAAATAATGAAGAAAGGAAACTCAACCTGAAAAAAACCATTGCTGTCAAGTCAATTCCCACTCCTAGCAACCCTACAGAACTACTAAAATAAGATGAAAAAGAATCAAAAAAATTTAATAAGGTAAAAATGGTGGTATTTAAATTAAAAAAGACAAAATTAAAAAAAAGAACCTTTACATTTAGATGACTTGAGGTTTACTTTGTTCAACTTAATTGAAAATAATGTTCAAATATAGTTTTCTCTTCAAGTCAATTATTATACTCTAAGTTCTTTCATTACTAAACTACAAAAAAAGGGAACATTATAACAAGGCATCTGCAATATTAATCCTATAGATATCAACGTGACAACTCCCGGGGTGGGGGAATATTCTATATATTGTTATATTGAATGGACATTTTAAACAAGCTGTGCCAAGAATTAAATAACTTAAGCAACTAATAGTTTAAAATATATATAAAAACATAACAAAGAGTCACATTTGTGTACATAAAAATTAAGTACTTACAATATCTTCTATTATCTCTTTGATAGCTGCCACAGCTAAAATAAATAAGAGAGGAACCAGTGTTGTGTAACGACCTGTAGGTGATACATCAGGTATTTGCTATTTGAAGGAAAAAAAAAAGAGAGAGAAATCCAGTGAGAAATACAAAGTTTATAACATTTAAAAACAACAAAGTTTTAGTGTCTCCTAAATATACTTCATTGATTTTACTATCTTGGTCAATTGCTACTGAATGAGACAATTTGCTGGTATCTACTAAATAGCTGGAAGTGCATGGTAATTAGCTTCATGATAAGCAGTGGTGTGTAGGACTTACACCTACAATAGGAGATTGGTTAAATATAGTATAGTCATATACTAAAATACCATAGTCATTAAAAATGATATTTTAGAAAACAGTGAATAACATGGGAAAATAGCCAAACACTACTACTGAATGAAGCAGACTACAAAACAATAGACACTACACGATTCCATCTTTGTAATCTAAATCAATAAGCAATGCTTGTTGTTGTTGTCAGGTGCCCTCGAGTTGATTCTGACTTATAGTGACCCTACAGGACAGAGTAGAACTGCCCCATAGGGTTTCCAAGGAGCAGCTGGTGGATTCGAACTCCCAGTCTTTTAGTTAGCAGCCAAACGCTTAACCACTGCGCCACCCAGGCTCCAATTCTTAGGAAAATAAAATAAATAAATAAAAGACCAGAAGGATATACACCCAAATTTTAATAGTAGTTGTGTCTGGGTGGTGGAATAATACATTTTTAATATTTTTTTATGTTTTGTCATATGTTCTGATTTTTTTTTACTATGAATCTAACTCAAATACAGGAAAAACACAAGATTTAAATTGGTAATTCTTATATTTCAAGATTTAGAACTTACACTTTTACCATTACTAAAATAAATTAATATTTTAAGAAAAAATCCCATCCCCATTTACTACTGAAGATGAACAGTCATTGCTATCACAGAACGCTTAAAATAAGCCAACAAAATGAATCACATAGAGGTAGTGGAATTCTGACACTGCTTGGAGCAGGAGCTGGAAATGTCCACCAGAACCAGCTTATCTCTTTCTATTATATAATCTTTAGGGCACTGGTCAAGGGCTTAACAGAAACATTTATTAATGCCTGATCATTTGTCTTTGAACTAAGGTTTTTACAATGTGACTTTACCTGAAGCAGCGCAATAAAGAGAAAAAATGAATTAGCAGCTCTTCTGAACTGAGAGTACAGAAATCGAGGAAGGAATGTGATTATGTTGTATTTTGCAGTGCTGGAAAAGAAAAACGACAAGTATTATAAAACTAATTACGCCACAATTAGTACACCCACGTTTACAAAGTTCTGTTATCACGATATAAACAATTAGATGATGAACATTTTTGCCCACTGTTTCAAATTGGGAGAATATTCCAAAAGGTCATTAACCTAAATGAAAAATAGGGAAAGAACTGGCTAAACAGTAAAGACTGACGGAATACACCACAGGTTTTATTTTCTGAGTAAAATCTTTTGTCCTCTTTGGCCAATTCTGCTTAACATTACAAAGAAGAACAACTTTAGTTAAGAATAGTATATAAAACGCTAATAGAAAATTAAATCTTACAAAAAAAAAAAACAAAAAAAAACAGCAGTTTAAGCAGGGCCAGAGGACTACAAATAGAGATGCCTTCGCTGGATAACTTTAAAGAAATGGGAAGTTTTCTGGGGTTCTGCTGGAATTTTCTTCATGGACTCTTGAGGACCTGGCTGGGACTCCACACTAAACACACCAGATATGTCCACAACCAGTGAGATATCACCCAAAGTCTTGGAAACATCCCTCCTCTTGTTTATTGAATAGAAAGGAGAATCAAGGAGATTATAAGAGACACTTCTTAAACTGAGAAATGGTACTATAGAACTTGAAGTTGTAAATATTAATTTTAGATTGGCATTTCTCAGATCTGGTCATTCTGCCACTGGAGAAAAACTGTGCTAGCACTGAAGTGTTCACTTGGATCCGTAGGTCACATGGTGGTACAGAGTAACCAGTGTTTATACTGATCCTTTTTATATTATTATTGGAATGAAAACATAACATTGAAGTAATTCCCACAGATCTACAATCTTCAACACCATAGTAAATTTCACAATTACAAAAAGCTGCTATTTAAAGACTTTTTAACCAAAAGGAGTCCTCTGGTAGAATTGTAAAGATCTCTCCTAAAATGTTAAATCCTATTAAACCAAAAACTATAATACATTGTTCTAGTAACAGCGTTGAGACAAAGTCATTTACCCATGAGCAGCTTCCATTACTCAGACACTACGTATAGAATTGGTATAGTATGGCTGTTTATCCTTTCAGGTCTTTCCTGCTTCTGGATTCTTATTAACATCTCCTTTATTGGATAGAAAGTAGGGAAAGAAACAGCCCATTCACAATGATACCAGTAAGCTCTCAAATAGTAACTGGTTTAACCGAAATCTCTTTGCAAGCATTTTCATTTCATCTGCACAGGAGAGATGTCCTTCTGAATCCTGTTGGGATGCCTGGTCCCACAGCATCTTTGGTAGTTCCTACCTGACATGGTTATTGCAGAATTTTGTCCGCTGGGGCTGGTTGATGAATATAGTCCTCACTTCCTCCTGGTCGGCTAGTGAAGTCTTCTCTGAAACATCATCAGTCTTCTCATAACCTTCAAAAGGGATAGTCTTCTTATTTGGTAAGAAATGTTTCATTTTATAATCTACACTAAAAACACGTTTCATAACTATTCTAGAATCCAAAATCTGTTGAAAGCTACAAGTTTCCGTTTAACAGTGTACTTGTTTTTTTAATAATAAAAAAGGGAAATCTTCACATCTAACATTTCTCCTGGATTCAAAAGATAGCATTTAGTAAACTGTCATGTAAAATGTAATCCATTTTCAAAAATGGTAACAATATGTTCAACTTACATCCTCCCACTGCATAAAATGATGCCGAAAGTAACAAAGAATTTTAAACTGGTTTATATTATCATTTTGGACAAGACTGAATGAGACAGAGGTAATTTAAAATATATTAAAAAAATTTAACATACATATTTAATGCTTTTCTGTTTTGTGGGTTTTTTTCTTTTTGGATGAAGATTTAAAAAAGATAAATATTAAGATTTAGGTAAACAGCTACCACAGTTATCTAACTCATTATGATCATCTAATCTTTCCTCCAATTAGCATTTATATTCACCAACAAACTTTAAGTGTCTTAACATCATTATAAGTCACCTCACCATCATCTAAGCAATGCAACAGGTTCGGGTGATTTCAATCAAGTAACACCTTGCTGCAATGTTGATAACACATTTGAAAATATATACAAGTTTTGGAAGAACAGAGAATAAACAGGAAGTCTTTTAAAATGCGTAGTTTTACCTTCTAGTGAGAATTAAATGAAATTGGATTTAATCAGTCCCTTACTCCCCTACTAGAAAGGGACACCATCAACATCCTATCTCAAATACCCATTTTTCTTCTTTTTCTGCCTAACTGAAAATAAAACCAACCCCATTGCCAACGAGTTGATTCCTACTCATAGCAATCCTCCAGGACAGAGTAAAGTTGTCCCATAGGGTTTCCAAGGCTGTAAATCTTTATGGAAGCAGATGTCACATCTTTCTCCCATGGAGTAGCTGGTGGTTAGCAGCCAAAAGCTTAACCACTGTGCCACCAGGGTACTTCTTTTCTGCCAGCCGATGTCAACTCCTCCCATAAGACCAGGCCAAGATGGAGTCTCTTCTGAAGGCTTCCAGGATGTCAGTCAGTGAACCTTCTCTGTACCTACCCCCTCCCCAGTAAAGCACTTACCTGGAAGTCTGGCTACTGTTTATGAGTCTGTCTCCCATCCCCAAATGGGAACTCCCTGAGGCAATAGGTAATGTGTTACTCCTCTTTTCCTAAGGCCAGCACAACACACAGCAGGCAAATTCAATGTTTGTTGAATAAATAATACGAAGTGGCAAAGGAGTGGTTATTTGGGCTTTTTTTTTTAGGGCAAGCAAGAGTGTCTCCACCCATTGATAAGGACACTAAGAATAGCCAAGTGCAGGTAAGAAACTCTAAAAGAAAAGTATTCCTATGGGGCTTTGTTTCTATATGAAACCAGAAAGTCCTTTAGGCATTCTATAAAGGTTAAGGACCGGAAGTAAAGGCACTGGGGGTAGCAGGTGAGAAACAGCATAATGTATGCAGGGGAGTATAATCTGGGCAGCCTTACTGTTGCAGGGGAGACATGATGATAAAAAAGTACACAGGGGCCAGGTCACAGAGAACCTCTCATGCTGTGAAGAAGTCTGGGTCTCATCCTGCAGCTGGACCATCCTGCAGTTCATCAAAAGCTTTCGAAGCAAGAGAGGTACAGAGTGAGAGTCACATTTTATACTCATCACTGTGGAGGTCACATAGCTCCAAATCAGATAATGCCATACCCGTTTTACAGATTTAAAGACATTAAGCAGCTTTGCCCAAGATCACATGGCCAGTGATTACCTTTTACTACATCATGTTTTAAATACAACACAAGCTTCTCCCCTAGGTTTATACAATTCGAATGTCACAAATAGAGACATAGCAATCTTAAAAAAATCTTTAAAATCTTTTATTAGATGTTCCTTAACCACAGCACAAAGACCAAAGTGTACTGTTTCCAGCATCTGGGTTTGACAGAGAGCCTCATTAAAACCAGCCCTCCACTTGGCTCTGAGCCGAAGTCCTCAGGTTGTACTTACTTACATAACTGGACATTTTTTTTGCCTGGTAAATGTCTGGCCCTCAGGTGTTCTTAGCTGAGGAGCTGCCTATCCTTCCTCACCCAGACATACCCATATACACTGGGGTCTTGAATTCCCCCACAGGGAATTGGACATTACATCTCCCCGTCACCCATTAATTTGTGTTCAAGAATTTCTATGGCATCAAGGGTCCTCCTGGGACAAAAGGGACAGGAATCAATGCCTTCTCTTAAATGAGAATCAGAGGAATTCAAACAACCCTAATGGACTGGTAGGGCCTCAACCAAGGGCAGATACTAAGGGACTCCTAAAAAGAAAACAACAACAACAACAACACAATTAAGGGAAAGTCTAGACTAGTAGGCCATTAAACACAATGAGGGAAAAGTGTCAAGCATAGGGCCATTAAAGGGGGTTGAAGGTTCCAGGCACAGAATACTGCTGATACCTTAGGCCTTCTTCACCCAGGCACCTTAAAACCAAACCTAAAACCCATTGCCGTCCAGTCGATTCTGACTCATAGCTATACTACAGGACAAAGTAGAACTGCCCCATAGGGTTTCCAAGGAGTGGCTGGTAGATTCAAACTGCTGACCTTCTGGTTAGCAGCTGAGCTCTTAAGCACTGTACCATGAGGGCTCCACCCACTATGGAAAAGCCTAGGGAAAAGGATGCATGTGAATCTGAATTTATGGAGAAAATTCCTCGGGGCCCAGGCAGTTTTGCTCAGGGATTCCCTGATGGGGTGCAGTACTGAGGAAGAGAGGGAGGGCGATCTGCACTGGAAGCAGAAAGTGAGGCACTCAGCCAATGGGAGCTGGTGGATCGCCCTGCCCTGTCTCCTCAGGGTTGTCAGGGCTTCAGTGCTTGGCCACACAGGCTCGTTTACTACCAGTGACATGGAGACCCTGTAGGCAACAGAGGCCCACTCCTGGGAGGTTGCAGGTACCTCCTTGTGTTATGCATCTGACTTCCCGTTTACACCTAGCAGGTGACAACAAGCTAGCAATGAGCAGGCTTAATTTGTTAGTAACCTCAGAGGTCCTCTGGAATATTTGGGTGAGGCACCTGGGAAAAAATCTGCAAGGTAGGAGTTTGTAACTATTATAATTTGAGTCTTCAAGAACTCTAATCCTATATTGTAGAAATACGCAGGTTAGGTCTGGACATATGGTTAACTTATCAATACAGACTCCCTTCATGTAGCAGAGAAATAAGGCTCTTCTATTTGAATTAATGAGCCAACACTTTGAGGGAGGTGGTCAGGAATTTTGATCTCATCCTTCTTCTGAGTTAGAAGTGAAAGGACATTTACAGACAATTAGATAGCCACTCAGTATGCACCGGACAACTCTGTTTTTATGCTTTTTTTTTTTTTTATTTCCTCTATAGGTTCCTTTCAGAATTTATGATGTTCTCTGCAAATCACCACTTTCATCAGCTATGCTGATCACATAAAGAGGTCTATGTTCATACTTGGGCAATATCCTCACTATCGGTGTATAGTGCTGGGGTAGGTAACCAAGGGGAGAATCCCCCTAAAGTCACCCCAAAGAAGGTAAAATTAAGATGGTACCATTGCCGTTCCTTCCCATACAAGGTTCTATCCTTTGTTTTAAGGAGGGAAGCTGTGCTCCTTAGAATTTAATAATTTAGAGGGATTGTTCATACACTCATTAAAATTGACTAGTAGTTCTTAATCCACCTGTCTTGATGCTCCTAAGGAGTCCTGACATCTAAGACAGCTTTTGTCTCATCCCTTTGCAGGCTGCATGATGGAAAAGAGTGAGGTTGGAGATCTATTAACAGTTCTCACGGAGTCCTCCTGGAAGTTCAAGCCTTCAGAAGCCTGCTTTGTCCTTCAGTCATGCTAAGTGTGTAGTTTGCCAAGAGAAAAAAATACATCCTAATCACACTCTTTGGTATCCCTTGCAGCTTTTCCAAGCATAATGTTGTACATTTGAGAGCATGTATTGGTTTGTGCTTGACTGCTAACCTAAAGGCTGGTGATTTGAATCCACTGAGCAGTATAGTGGAAGAAAAGGCCTGGCAATCAGCTTCCATAAGATTATAGCCAAGAAAACCCTATGGAGTAGCTCTACTCTGTAACACGTGGGGTCGTCATGAGTTGCAATCAACTTGACAGCAACTAACAGCAATACTTGCACATGTAATGAAAATGGCCCCCAACAGGCTTGGCCAACTGATTCTGGGACTTCCTCAGTAACCCATCCTCTCTAAGTCAGTACCGAGGTGGTCCAGAATGAACTCTGAAGCCCACCAAAGAACAAGTTCAAATCCCACATCAAGTATAGCTAAATGGATGTTATTTGGTAAATGGCAAACCAGGAGTAAAATGCAACATTAGGGAAGTTACTTAGTCTCATTAAGTTTCAGTTTCCTAGCCTGTGAAATAGAAATATTGTGTATCCACTTCTGGAAAGTTGTTGTTAATTGCTGTTGAGTGGAGTCACTTTCTACTCACAGCGACCCCATAAACGCGGAGTAGAACTGCTCCATAGGGTTTTCAAGGCTGTGAACTTTCAGAAGCAGATCGAGGCCTGGTCTCCAAGGCACCTCTGAGTGGGTTTGAGCTGCCAACCTTTTAGCTAGCATTCGAGCGCTTAACTATTTGCACCACCCAGGGACTCCATACCTGCTGGAATAGTTAGGATTAAATAAAAGAATATATGCAAAGAGCTTATCAAAATGCCTAGTCTTAATCAAGAACACATAAATGTAATCTATTATACTTAAGAGTTTACAGGGGTGGATAATGATCATTTCATATGCTAAGCCTTACGGAAATGGGAGGCCAGCATACTGCCTCCCAAGCAGTGTCGCAGAGGTAGTTCTTTACCTTTTAGTGTACCTGCCAGTTCACCTGTTTCCCATTATATTATAAGCTACCTGGATAGCTTATA